CCTCCCCCCTAGTTGCGCCACTGGTTGGCAGCATATTCATCTGTTCGCCACTTCAGATTCATGCTAGAAGGTAGAGAGTTTACAATATTTACAGACCACAAACCATTAACTCATGCATTGTTCAGGACGAGTCCTCCTTGGTCAGCTCGTCAGCAGCACCAACTTGCATACCTGGCAGAGTTTACTGACTCCATTGTCCACGTTCCTGGTAAGGAGAATTTGGTAGCTGATGCCCTTTCTCGCCCGATTTCACCTGTGTCCGCTCCGAATCCTAAACCTAACCCATCTTCTCCAGGTTCTGTTAAACCTTGCTCCGCTCCAAGTCCTGATTCACGCCCTCTTCAGTTCTCCTCTAAGCCTGTTCGGTCCCACTCCCCTCCAGTTCCTGGTTCCAAGGTGTCGGAGGTGTCGGAAACTGAGGAGTCAAGTTTTCTTCCTCAGCCCAGTGAACATTTTAAAAAAGATTCTACATCCGTTTTGGTCCCAGCTCCGGGCGGAGATCTTTTAAGTGAACAAGTGTTGCATAGTTTAGATGTTTCAAGTTTAGCAGATTTTCAAACAGCTTGCTCATCCGTGCAAGAAATGAAGTTAAACCCATCTCTAACAGTGATTGCTCATCCCGTGGGTTCTAGTTATAATTTATGTGATGTTTCAGCCAGTTCTCTTCGTCCATTAGTTCCCCTTCAGCTCCGCCGCAAGCTTTTCGAGCAGATACATAATATTTCTCACCCTGGTGTCAGAGCTTCCAGGAGATTGATGTCGTCAAGATTTGTTTGGCCGGGAATGTCCAGAGATGTCGGGTTGTGGGCAAAATTGTGCATTCCTTGTCAAAAATCCAAGATTTCAACTCATGTTCATGCCTCGGTTCCCTCTATTCCAGTACCGACCAGGAGATTTTCTCACGTACATGTTGATATCGTGGGTCCTCTACCAGTTAGTCAAGGCTTTTCATATCTTTTCACCATGATTGACAGAACTACAAGATGGCCAGAGGCCGTTCCTTTATCCTCCATTTCTGCTGAGTCCTGTGTTCGAGCTTTTATTTCAACCTGGGTGTCAAGATTCGGAGTTCCTGCAGTTCTCACGTCTGACAGAGGTTCTCAGTTCACATCTTCTGTTTGGACCGGAGTTTGTTCTATTTTGGGAATCTCAGCCTCTTCTACGACCTCCTTCCATCCTCAGAGTAATGGTATGGTTGAAAGGTTTCACAGAAGTCTAAAATCTTCTCTTCGAGCAAGGTTAGCAAGTTCTGATTGGGTTTCTCATCTTTCTATGGTTCTCCTGGGTTTGAGAGCCACTCCGAAAGATGACACCGGCCTCTCGGTATCCGAGGCTGTTTATGGTGCTCCTTTGACTCTTCCTGGCAAACTTGTAGATGTTCCTGAGCTACTTCCTGATACGTTCATCAGGAAGGTCAACAGAGCTATTGAAGGTTTCGCCGTTCCTCCGCCTCATCATGTTCGTCCTGTTCCTCCAGTCCAACTACCTGCGGCTCTCATCTCAGCTAAATACGTTTTTGTTCATGAAGATACAGCTATATCATCATTAGCACCGCGTTACCGAGGACCTTATTTGGTGATTGACAGGCGAGACAAGTACTTCCGCCTCCAAGTGGGTTCGAAGCAGGACGTAGTATCTGTTGATCGCCTGAAGCCTGTATTCAGTGATACTCCTGTTACTACTGCGCTCCCTCCGCCTCGAGGAAGACCCAGACTTAACCCAGCATCTGCTCCTTCAGCTACTCCGCCTCCGTCTGCCGCCAAGTCTTCTAAGAGGGTTAGGTTTCTACTCAATCCTCAGGTTGTTCCGCCACCTATACCCTTACGACGGAACCCTTACAGATCTGCAAGAGATAGAAGGATCTGCTCCGCCATTTCTCCGCCGTTCCTTCTGGGGGGACTACTGTGGCGGATATGAATGTCGTCTTCCTGAAATAACATCTAGAGAGAACCAAGGGGGCGTTTCAAGATCAGCTTCAACCATGTGATAATTATTTAGATATTTTTACTTTATGGATTTAAGATTTAAATAAAGTTAATCGTTTGGAAACTCTTATCCTTTCAAGTTATCGAGCGCCAAATAATCTCAATAATGAAGATAGTTTCTTTGTGTGAATTCACACTCAAATAGACATTAGTAATATTAATCAACATAATTCTTATTCAGATATTGATGGAGGCCTCTAAGCAGATTAGCCCTTCAAAAAGATTAAAATCAAAGAATGGGCCGAAATATATTTTGATTTTGAAAATTATCAAAATAAAAAAATGCACTAAGGGAAATGATCCATCCAGGGTTCATCATATTCAAATTTGAATTGAACAGAAGGATATTTTAATTACTTGTGCAATAAGCAAAATTTCCTGGTAAAGTGACAATTTTTTTTTTTTTTTACTCAAAGGTCCGAAAAGTACTCCGCCATAAAGATAACGAGTTAAGAAGAATAGTTTTTTTCTTTTTCACTCCAATTTGCCTTACTGTTACTCAAAACATTTTTTTAGTATTAAGTTTTAATCATGTTTGTTCACTATTAAGGCATGAAAAAGAATAAGAAAAATTAATAAATAAAAGAAGAGAAATAAAAAAGTTTTATTGTAACACGGAATTACAGAAGTCCCCCTCCCCTCAATCCAGAAAAAATCAAATATTCCTGCATAAAAATCTAAAAGAATTCGTTAAATGGTTGTGAGCTTGTTACTAATGTTAAACTTTTGTTAGAAGGATGATGAGAAGGAGGACCCGGGTAAGCCGGAGAACTCCTCCGGCCCGGAGAACCTCGAGACTCCGATCATCATGGTGAAGACGGCCTGCGGAGATTATCATAATCTCGGGTTAGATACTCAGGGTCAGGCGTATAGTCTACCCAGTCCTATCAATGTTTCATCGTTCCCGGGAGCACCCGCACTTAAGGTCAGAATAAGCAAGCGATCTGTTGATTTGTTGGAATTTTTTAAATTTTGAAAATGCGTAAATAAAATCTGAAAAATCTGCTAAATCTTTTAAAAAAAAATATCATTTATGAAATTAGCAACATTTAAATCTAAAATTATTACATGAAAGAGGGGTACACGAAGGGTAGTAAATAATAAAATGTTTTTGACATTGTAATAATGCAAAAAAAAAAATACAATAATTAAGTCGAGAACTTGAAAAAAATAGACATTTTCCCCCGATTTGAATTTAAGTAAATTACAAAAACTTTACGAGAAAGAAAGCTGCAACAAAAACCTCCTTTGTTTTCCCGTTTTAATTCTTTCTATAAAGCAACCATGAGTTTTTATTACAGGGGGGAGGTTAAACATTGATAAGTATTGAAGTAAAATAGTAAAAGTGTATTAAAAAGATCTTTATATCTCGAAATGTATTTGAGTAAGCTGCTGGAGCCAATATTCTATTTTTGAATAAAAAACGAAATGCTAAAAAAGCTAAGGTCACTATTTGTAATAATCAGTAATTATGACACTTCAGATCAGTGCTTAGGATCCGGATCCGTTGGATCTGCATGATTTTGGCTTCCTGGATCCGGATCCGCAAAAGTATGCGGATCCGGATGCAAAATAAAGTTTTATTCGCAAAACCCAAATCTGAATTATAGAAAAAGGGGAACTATAAAAATTACCTGATTTCATCAAGTTTTACCATAAAAATAAGAAAAAAAAATTAGACAATATTTTAAAACTCTGCTTTGTTTAATAATTCATTAAGTTTTAGATAAATAACCTGGATTTGGATCTGGATCCGGATTCGGATTCGGATCGGATCCATTTTTTTAGTTTTTATAATCTAGTTTTTGTTGGTCAGGTGACTGATATAGCTTGTGGGAAGGAGCACTGTATGCTTCTCACGGAGACAGGACAAGTTTTCTCTTGGGGCGGGGGGACCAGAGGACAACTTGGACACGGGACTTTGTCCTCAGAGGACAAACCGAGGCTCATCATGGCCCTAGACGGGATGAGGATAAAAAAGGTAAATAAGAAAAAAATTAAATAAATTTATGAATATATCGAAAATAAAATGAAAAACTTAGAAAGAATCAAAAATAGATTTAAAATTTTTTATTAATTTTTAAGATTGCCGCCGGAGGTTGGCACAGTGCCGCTATCTCGGAGTATAACGATCTCTACATGTTTGGTTGGAACGAATCCGGTCAGTTGGCACTGCCGACGAATTTAGCGCGGCCGGCCGAATGTTTTTCGGCCGTTGAAAAGCTTCTTATGGCGTGTTGTACAATGCAGGTATGAAAGGCTGACATGTTTTTATATAAAATAGAACATTTCTCTTTGTCTTGTACATTTTTAAAACTTATTTTTTATCATTTAAAGTGGGAGGGGAAGGGGGGGTGAAATGAGTTCCTAAGAAATCCTGAAAAAATCCGCGCAAAAATTATAATATACTGAGATAAATGAGTTGTTAAGAGGGGGCCCGGGTTCATGTATTATGTATTATTGGTTTAGTAAATAGTAGCTTGGGAACCCAGCGTTAGCTAGAGTAGTCATGGTTAGTCCTGCCGTTTACCCGCGCTTTGTCGTAAATTACAATTTTAGCTATTTTGCCACATAACTTATAGTCCTAAAACTAAGCTAAATACATTCCTGTGGCTCTCCTGAGTCCCCCAATTTAAATTTGAGGAAAATCAGTCCAGGGGTTCAATTATATATAAAAGAATGGGTTTTAATAATTCTAACTTGATGAAGGCGGAGGACGCAGCTGTTCCCCGGGGAGATACAGAGGATGCTGAGGTCTATAGGAAACCTGGAGAGGAGGACAGCATCTGTCAACTCATGGACCCGGAGAAGGTTGGGTTTAATCTGTTCTATTAGGATTTATAACCGGAATAATTTAGCTTTAATCCGTCCTGCTAGGATTTGTAAATGTATATCTCTTGTTTTTATACATTCTACTAGGAAATACAGTCATACCCATCAAACTATGGAATAGGAAGACTACTATTAGACTCAAGTTATGGTTTTAAATAGTCCAATAAACACTGAACACAGCAATTATTTAGTTTACATAGACCCTTTTCACTTAATAGGTTGATGTTCAAGCTACTGGTAAACCTATTTGCTTTACAGCTATATCATACTAGACTTTAATCCGTCCTTCTAGTAGCCATACCCAGAGAAATCTAGTTTAAATCCGTCCTTCTAGTAGCCATACCGGGAGAAATCTAGTTTTTGTTGCTTCCTTCTAGTAGCCATACCCGGAGAAATTTAGTTTTTTTTGGCTTCCTGTGAGATGTTGACTTAAAACTTAAAAAAAATATTTTTGTTTCAATTCGTTCTGTTAAGGATTTATATTTGGAGATAGTTAGTGATAATTCTTTTTTTTATCACTGATGGTAGTTAAATCCGCCTCGGGTAAGATTTTTTATCACTGATTGTAGTTAAATCCGCTTCGGTAAGTTTTTTTTCTCACCAGTGAAAATTTCCAAATCTTTGTATTACTTAAAATCAATCAAAATATCTTCAGTAAAAAAAAATCAATTATAACATAACAAGGTTATTAGAACCAATGATCACATATTTAGGACAAATATAACCAGTGATAATATATTAGGGAAGAATAAAACCAATGATAATGTATAAAGGAAGAATATAACCAATGAATAAACCAATGATAACATATTGAGGATATGTAAATCAATGATAATATATTAAGGAAGAATAAAAACAATGCTAATATATTAAGGAAGAATAAAACCGATGATAATATATTCAGGAAGATTAATTCCAATGATAATATATTCAGGAAGGATTAAGCTGCTATGCCCCAGCTGCTTGTGAGAATTCTAATGAGTACGTGATGGTTCAACCTGTTCCTATTCTAGTCAACATTAGGTTGGTTTAGATTTTACAATTAATTATTGTTGTTGATCGATTTGGATCGGGTTAAAAATTAAATTAATAAGACTTACAAAAACTGTTATGTTAAATTTGCTTTTATTAAACTTTTCAATATATTTATCATAAAGAAAAATTAGAATAAAGACCGAAATTTTTTCGCTTTTGGGTCTTTTTTTAAAGAAAAGAAATTGTTTACAACAAAAAATTTATGAAACATTTGCTAAATTTCGACCTGCAAGAAAATTTAGGCAAAAACGACTCAACTGAAAGCACGTCACTTCATACAGTGGTCGCCAGTATAATGTGGATTAGAAAACTACCTGAAGTTACTTATTATATCCCACATTATATCGGAGTAAAACCAAGCTTTAAACTTAAAATACGCACATACACTAGTTTATTCTGCATACAGATTTTTTAGCCTTACACATTTTTTTAATGATTCTTTCTTTTTAAATCTTATAATTTGTCCTGAAAATCGCAATAAATAGCTTTAAATGGATTATATGATCACACTTTACTTTACATGTAAATAAAAAAAAATAAAGTTTTTAAAGAGGATTAATTCAGTTAACACTGTGCAAGGTATATTGTTTGTTTAGTATACAATATTAGAATTTTTTACAAGAGTCTTCAGTCTCGAAGCATCCATTAGTTCCTCTTTACTTATGGTACTGCTGTAATGTTACCCCTGATAAATTTATTTTGATAGTTCCATTTAAATTTATTTGATTTTTTAGAAATTTCCTTTGCAAATCGTGAACTTTCCGTTTATTTAGCGGGAAGAATGGTACTGAGAACTCTGTGCTTGATGTTGGGTGTGGGTCCAGGCACACTGTTTGTTTAACTATGGGGAATAATCTGTGGTCCTTTGGTTGGAATAAATACGGACAGCTTGGTCTGGGGGATAATAAATCCAGGGATAATGTCTGCAAGGTTCCTCTTCCCAAAGCTATTAACAGGTGATTGATAGTAACAGTAGAGGTATTAAGAATATTATCTATTATCTTCCTAACTTATCTCATATCTTATATCTAGTATTTTTTTATTTTTTGTGGAAACACTTATGTTCTTTAGTTCATTGATGGTTTAAATTAGAGTCTAACATTTTTAGATTCAGTGAGATAAGAACAGTGCGATGTGGAGATTGGGGAACTGTCATCCTAGTTCACAACGGCAAGAAGAATAAATAAAATCGCCATTTTGGTTCAACCCGCCATATTGGATCGTCAGCCATTTTGGCTCCCCTTGCATTTTAACCGCGGCATTAGCGGCCATAAATTTATAAACTGGCATGAAATTTGAAAATCACCATTCTCTGATTTTGAGAGCTCTACACTCAAAAACGAAAATGGGTCGAAAGCCAAATGAAAAAAGTAACTAGAGGTATAATCCAATGTGTTTAAATTTGCAACATTATTTTGTCAGTATAAAAACATATTTTCCTAAAAAGTATTTTAATCTAAAGAATGTTCGATGTTTTTTATCCTGCTTAACTAATCTAGAAATACCGCTTAAGTACGTATTTTTATCCTAGAATCTAGGATTACAGCATCCCTATGAGATATATCTCTTAACCCAGTAGTCGCTAGAAATATGTGACCCCGGAACACAGTCTTCAATTTTTGTTATCATAACGTTGATATCTTACAAGCTGATATATTTATGATTTAGTCAGCGATTACATTATTATAAAACACGAAATTTGTACTTTTGGACAATAAGAGATATTCTATAAAAACAGATATTTTTCTTTTCTGTGATTTTTAAATAATTTTAAATAATCCAATTCAGTTGCATAAAGTTAGTTTATGTAAATGCATAGTTTTGTTCAATGTAATACAGTGATACCCAATAACAGTAGAATATGAAGACAGTATTTCATCTCCTGTGTAATTGACAATTTCCTCGTATCTTGAATTTACTGTTCATCTGAGTGTTCAATGAACTATTTAAAATCATGCTTGCGGTTAAAAGTCGTCTTCCTTTTCCACCGTTTTCAACGTAAAACAAATTTAAATTGGATTAAAAAAAGTGTGCGTGAAAAATGAGCTATTCATCAAATCTCAGCAAAAATTCTGAAAAGTCTTTAAATAAATAATTCGCAAAAAAGTCTCAAACTTCAGTTTCAAAATTTACAAATCATGACCTTTAGAAGGATACACTTCTATAAACCAGGTACTCCTGTACTGCAGTGTTTACTTTCCTCCCGCACAAAATGTAAATAATCAAATGAATCCCAAGCTTGTCAGTATTCCTCCCGTAATATGCAGTACACTTTTTGTATTCACAAATTTTGGGGATTTCTGTTTTGGGGATTTCTGTTTTGAATATTTCTGTTTTGAATATTTCTAGGCTGAAATAGTGGTTGAAAACGAATGGGGGGAAAATACCCCTTAACTCCAGTACAAATGTAGAATAAGAAAATTTTAAATGTTTAAAATATTCCATGTGATTTATCTTTTTAACCATTTACCGTCATTTGTCAATAATACTCAATGTAGATTAAAATACATTTATTCAATCCAAACTAAATTATTTTTGTTTAAATGTATCTTTTGTTATGTTATGTTTTAGGACCAATAAACATGGGAATTGAGCGGGGAAGCATTATCAGTTGAACGTTTTTGAAATATTATGCTCAATGTTTACTGGGACATACAGTGGTATGACGTCGTCTTTGCCCAAATAGACACAATTTCCTAATTATGATGCGAATTTGGAACTCAAAAATAAATGCAAATTTGTTAAAATCAAAATATTTATTGCGAAATCCAGTTCTTTAGCCAAAAATATGCCAAGAAAAAGACCTTTACCCCCACAAATTGAAATATACAAAAAAATTTAAAACCTATCCTACTGCTAGGACTCCGCAAGGCGCAGTTAACCAAACTGAAGCATAACAGCTGATACAAGTAACGGTTCTGTTTTTTCCTGCTTGAAATAGCAAAACTTACTTTCAGATAAAAACGATAATTCTTTATTATTTTGAGAGTTAAAAACGCAGTCTTTTGATTTATCCCTCGCTTATTTTCCAGTTATTTTTACATAAAATACTCGTTAACGATTTTTTTAAATATCCTATTGCTAACTAACCATAGTTGTTTAACGATGTTATCTAACTGTTAACAAACTGATAAAAAGAAGGCAGACCGAACCCGGCCCTATGCACTGCTTGCTGCCTTTAACGGGGTTCTAATAATATTCAAATCAAATATTTTCATTAAAAGAACCGTCTTGAATAACCAAATAAGTAGACAGTTTAACAATGCGCTCTGGAGTTTTTGTATGCAAAATTGGTCTTGGGAACCCTTGGTAAACTAAAATTCCCTTTATTTCACCGAAAAGTAGTTTTCAAAAATTAGTATGATTGTATTAAAAACATAAGTTTAGTACTTGCACCAAAGTAATAATTAAAGCTTGCTACTTGATTTTAAAAAAAAGATATAGAAAAGAGAAAAAAAGAAAGATTCTGTCAGGTATTTCAAGAAATAAACAATACATGCACGATCTACGGATCTTAAAAAACTATATCTGAGTGCAGGATTTTCAAGTTCAGTGTGTTGTACTATTACAACTACGGAAATCTCCAGGTTCAGATTAGACCTGCTTAATAACCCCACTCTGAAAATTGCATTCAGTCGTACAGTCCAGTCTAGAGTCGACAAAGCACGTTTTAGTCTGGCAATATCGCAGTGGAATATCTCCAGTTCAGGTTAGACCTGCTGAGTACCTCCAGGTTCAGATTATATCTGCAGAATATCTTCAGGTTCAGATTTAACTGCTGAATATTATCAGAGTTAGATTTGACCTGCTGAACATCTCCAGGTTCAGATTAGATCTGCTTAATGGAATACGAAGTTTGTTTCTTGCGTCCCATCCTTATCGTACATCAGTGAACTTGGGTTCCTTCATCCTCTTCTCAGCATTTAAATCTCCAAAGACTTTAATGAAACTTTACAGTATATATACTACCTGCAGCAACCCATAGATATTTTATTGAACCAATTTTGGAAAATCATCACATGAAGACCATGATGTGTTCGCGATTTGTATCATTCTTTCATTGTTTACAGAAAAGTAACAAAACCGCTATCCGATTGCTTTCAAAAATATTTACAACATTGAACAAGATGATAATTGTTATCCCAGCGATCTAACAAAACTGTATATAAAAAAGTAATTTATCTGTTCCAGAAGTTTCTGATGAAAATATTTGGAAAATTCATTTCTTTAAGGAATTGCTATCTGTTAGATCAAATAAAATTGAAATTCACAGTTTTGAAAGGTATGAACTGTCCCAAATAATTAACCATTTGTGCTGTAACTGGTTTTTTTTATTTTGTATGACATAAATATTTGTAAATGTTTTGTAGTATTAATAATCTATTGTAACGCCATGTGTATGAAATAAATCTATAATAATAAATAATTGTCCTACATATTCTCCCTAGTTTCAATCTATTCTATTCTTCTCTCTTCTCATACATTCATTCTAATAATCTCAAAAGAAGCGGAAATTTTCAAGAAAAAAAAAGAATTTATTCGTAGATTTATTAAAACATCCTGAAAAATATTGACTGCAGTTTTGTTAGGATCATTTTACTTTTAACATAGAAGAAGAAAAGGAGTAACTAATCATTTTTTCAAAGAATAAAAGGTTGATTATAGATAAAACAAAAACATTGAAAACATATGATCAGTTATAGTTGACGACAAATCCTCCAAGACATCAAATTGAATTAAAATCCATTGTTTATGATTTATATGTGTTTAATAGAATTAATATAATTTTTGTAAAAAAGGAAGAAAATTTACAAGTACTGAATAATGTATGATCAATGAATTTACAAATAATCCTTGTAAAGAGCCTCAACAATTGTGGATTTAGACACAGAAACAATAAGTACAAGAGATTATACAAATTGACGTGAAAACTTTATCATTCAGACCTGGATTGATTTTTCGAGAAAAAGGGTCTGTCCAAGAATAATTAATTCACATCTTTAGTAAAAGGTGAAAATGGTTTCCACAAGAGAAACTTTTAAATTAAACATAATTTCTCTAATATGAGTAGATACATTGAATCTAGAAATAATAAAATAACTAATATAGTTTTTAATGTTTCTTGAATAAGTATTTGAAGTATTTATACACTCGAGCACAACCAATAAGAGAAGAGATTTTCAATCCTAAAAAGAAAACCTATTAAACATTTTATCAAGTATTACATTTTTTAACAAAATAAGAATTGAGCCAAATATTTTTAACCTCAAATAATAATAACCAAAACTACAAAATGAAAATTTTTGAAGTTTCCAACTCCGAAATCAAATAATATTTTCCATTTTATTTAAAATTATTAATTTTTATAAGAATTTGATAAAATTTCCACATTTATTATCCACATTGTTTTCCTCTATCAAAAATATCACATTTTACATCAACAATATCTCTCAGAAAGAACTTAGATTTTACCCTTATATACATTAGCAACATTTTATGAATCTTATTCTAACATATAAATTTACAGATTGTGGAAAACCCATTTTCAGAGGTTGAGATAAAGAAATAAAATGTGTAACTAAGTATTTGGGAAATGAACTGAGTTCTTGCATCAAACTGAAAACTTGAGTTTCAGTTTAATCTTGTGCAAATAAAATATGTACAGTGATGCTTGCTTTTTATAGTGACATGTACAAATAGAAAAAAATGTAGCATTTTATTAAATATTTTTGTTTAAATAAAGGATTTCTGACAGTTATAATTTTAGAAAAGAATTGAATTGGTATTTTTCGTCAAGCTTAATGAAATGTTGGAAATAGATTATTTCATGAAATTTGCCCTGGACAATGGAGGAGTTTCTTAAACGTTTATCTTAACATTTTTGCCCGGTTTGAAACCTGCGTCCTCTGTAATGAATACCTTTATTTTAATGCTTGTTACCTTGAATGATATTAATTTCTGCTATTGTTCTCAGCTTGTTCTTATCTACTCTTCTAATCCTACAAACCTTGAAGGTTTTCTCCAGCTCGTCAATCCGTCTCCTCAAGGTTGTACTTGATGCTCTCAAAGACATCTTGTCCTTTATAGTTAAATACTTGAGCACAACTATAAGATCATACTCCACCATGCGCTCCAAGCTAGACAGTTTGTTCTCCATTTTCTTCTTATTTTCTCTGAAAAATCTAAAATTTAACTTCAAATTTCATAATATAAATAATCCATTAATAGAATAACAAAAATAGAAATTGAGCGAAAAATAGAACTTGTATCATAACTGAAGCAAGAAATAGGTTCAGTTTCTCCAAATATAAAATTATCTGCCAGGTTCAGTTTCTCCAAATATTGAATGATCTCCCAGGTTCAGTTTCTCCAAATATAGAATGATCTCCCAGGTTCAGCTTCTTCAAATATAGAATGATCTCCCAGGTTCAGCTTCTTCAAGTACAGAATGATCTCACAGGTTAAGTTTCTCCAAATATAAGAATTATCTTTCAAGGTTCAGTTTCTTCACATATAGAATTATCTTCCAAGGTTCAATTTCTCCAAATATATAATTATCTTCCTGGTTCAGTTTCTCCAAATTTGTAATTATCTTCAAAGTTCAGTTTCTCCAAATATTGAATGATCTCCCAGGTTCTCAGTTCCAGGCAACATCTCATCAAAACTAGATCTGCACTCAGGATGTCTCAGCAGGGACTTAGGGGTCATCACAATCAAGTGTTTACGGATGGGAAGAGGGGTCTGACGACGAAGAATATGGAAGTAGTTTGCAGGTGTGGAGCAGTTAGCGACGATCATGTGGATATGGCTGAGCTGCTTGATTGCAAACTCCTCCTCCTCTGGGGGAAAATATTCTGGATCATCAGCGCAGAGTTGAAGGAACCTTTCAGGACGAGCAGAGCTGTGCTCAGGTCCCATACCTTCCATACCGTGGGGTAGAAGCATAACTAAACCAGATTGTCGAACCCATTTAGCCTGACCGCTAGCAATAAACTGATCAATAATGCACTGTGCAGTGTTGGAGAAACCTCCGAACTGAGCCTCCCAGAGCACCAGAACATTAGGGTTGGTCATGGAGAACCCGAGCTCGAACCCGAGTACAGCATACTCAGACAGGGAGGAGTTACTCGCAGTATACGGAGCCTGATAAGGGTACACTGTGAATAGCTCAAGGTTTAGGTTAAACCTACTGAATATCTCCTGACCTACTGAATACATTTAGGTTCAGATCAGACCTGCTTAATATCTCCAGGTTCAGATTAAGACAGCTGAATATCTACAGGTTCAGATTAGATCTGCTGAATGGGAAGTGAAATTGAAGATACATCTTTTCTTCTTCCGTCCCATCCTTATCCTACATCAGTAAACTTGGGTTCCTTCATCCTCTTCTCAGCATTTAAATCTCCAGATTGTGTTACAACCTTGTCCTGCATATTCTCCCTAGTTTCAATCTATTCTATTCTTCTCTCTTTTCAGCATTTAAATCTCCAGATTGTGTTACAACCTTACCATGCATATTCTCCTTAGTTTCAATCTATTCTATTCTTCTCTCTTCTCAGCATTTAAATCTCCAGGTTGTGTTACAACCTTGTTCTGCATATTCTCCCTAGTATCAATCTATTCTATTCTTCTCTCTTCTCAGCATTTAAATCTCCAAGTTGTGTTACAACCTTGTTCTGCATATTCTCCCTAGTTTCAATCTATTCTATTTTCCTCTCTTCTAATAATTGAATTTAAATAATTGAAATTAAATATATATCTTGTTCTTCTCCCGTCCAATCCTTATCCTACATTCTTGAACTTGGCTTTCTTCAGATTAGAACTGCTGAATATCTCCAGGTTCAGATTAGCCTGCTGAATATCTCCAGATTCAGATCAGACCTGCGGAATGGTACATGAAGGTCAAGATATCTCTTGAAAAGTTACATTTTATGACAAATCCTCTAAGACGGGAAATAATTGCTTGAATAAGTATTTGAACACTGGACCACAACCAGGAGTACTAAGAGAAGAGATTTCCAATTCTAATAATAAAATATATTTTTTTCTCAATTATTTAAAAAAATACAATTTTCTCAATTATTTAAAAAAAACATTTTTATTAGAATATCAAAATTATGAATCATTTGAGTATTTTTAGCCTGAAAGAAAGACTAAAGACACATTAAAAGTAAAATTTTAACAGATAAACCATAATTTTTAGATATTTCAGAGAAATTTTTATAATTTCAGTGCATTAAGGTCTTACTGATACTTTGACAAGATTAAATATTTTTTAAAACACATTTTTGGCCAATGTGTTTAATGTATATGAAGAACTTATTCAGCTGATTTCAAGAAAAAATAACATTTTTTTGACATTATGCAATATTCATTATCGAGTTTAATTTACTCAGAATAAGAATTATCAAATATTTCACTAGCGTCATTCATTTGTCAAATTCAGAAACATTGAAACCTTAAAAACTAAAATTGAAAAATAAACAAATACAAATAATTGTATTTCCACTGAGTCCATATGAAACATTTTTTAACAACTAGTTTTCATGATTCATTTTATTCATACCAATGTAATTGTGAAAAATACTGTTTTCACGGAAAACTTTTTATCTTGTTGTTGAGATTACGAATAATATAATAATCGCAAACTGCGGCTGAGAATTTTAAGATTAACTCTTATACTGAAAAGATAAGGTTTGAACCAAGGTAACAAGATTATCTTTTTAAACTGTTTAACTCTTTAATTATAGTTTAGAATAAAATTGCGTATTAAGTCTAGGCTACATATTTTTCTCTTTTGATTATTGATCATTTTAACATGCAGTGATAACCAGAAAACTCTAAAATCAGAAGACGACTTTTAGAATCAAGTATTTTTGAAAAAAAATGCTTTAAAATACAGAATTTTTCATAGTTATATTTTTAGAAAAGAATTGATCTGTAGTTTTCGTCAAACTTAATGAAATGTTGTAAATGGTTTATTTCAATGAAATTTGCTGGACAATGTTGGAGTTTCTAAAACATTTTTCATAACATTTGTGTCTGGTTAAGAATTTGCTTTCTCTGTAATGCTTATTTTTGATGGTTATTACCTTGTATGAAACATATCTCGTCTGCTAATCTTCTCAGCTTAGTAGAATCTAATATACGACTTATACTCCAAATCTTGAAGGTATTCTCCAACTCATTTAACCGTCTCAGCAAGGTTTTACTTGATCTCTCAGTTAAGTCTTATCCTTCATACTCAACAGCTGAAAAATAAATGGTTTCTATAAGATTTAGGGTTTCCATTCGCAAAACTTTTGCGCAATTTTTGCGGAACGAAGCGCAAAATTTTTCTTTCTTTGCGCATCAATTTTGCGCGAAAAAACAACAATTTGCGCAATCATTCGCAAAAGTCATTTCGCGCAAAATTGCCCTATTCCGCTTTTGTGAAACTTAAGTTTTGCGCAATTCCGCAACTAGAGTTTTACCTCCCCCCTAGTTGCGCCACTGGTTGGCAGCATATTCATCTGTTCGCCACTTCAGATTCATGCTAGAAGGTAGAGAGTTTACAATATTTACAGACCACAAACCATTAACTCATGCATTGTTCAGGACGAGTCCTCCTTGGTCAGCTCGTCAGCAGCACCAACTTGCATACCTGGCAGAGTTTACTGACTCCATTGTCCACGTTCCTGGTAAGGAGAATTTGGTAGCTGATGCCCTTTCTCGCCCGATTTCACCTGTGTCCGCTCCGAATCCTAAACCTAACCCATCTTCTCCAGGTTCTGTTAAACCTTGCTCCGCTCCAAGTCCTGATTCACGCCCTCTTCAGTTCTCCTCTAAGCCTGTTCGGTCCCACTCCCCTCCAGTTCCTGGTTCCAAGGTGTCGGAGGTGTCGGAAACTGAGGAGTCAAGTTTTCTTCCTCAGCCCAGTGAACATTTTAAAAAAGATTCTACATCCGTTTTGGTCCCAGCTCCGGGCGGAGATCTTTTAAGTGAACAAGTGTTGCATAGTTTAGATGTTTCAAGTTTAGCAGATTTTCAAACAGCTTGCTCATCCGTGCAAGAAATGAAGTTAAACCCATCTCTAACAGTGATTGCTCATCCCGTGGGTTCTAGTTATAATTTATGTGATGTTTCAGCCAGTTCTCTTCGTCCATTAGTTCCCCTTCAGCTCCGCCGCAAGCTTTTCGAGCAGATACATAATATTTCTCACCCTGGTGTCAGAGCTTCCAGGAGATTGATGTCGTCAAGATTTGTTTGGCCGGGAATGTCCAGAGATGTCGGGTTGTGGGCAAAATTGTGCATTCCTTGTCAAAAATCCAAGATTTCAACTCATGTTCATGCCTCGGTTCCCTCTATTCCAGTACCGACCAGGAGATTTTCTCACGTACATGTTGATATCGTGGGTCCTCTACCAGTTAGTCAAGGCTTTTCATATCTTTTCACCATGATTGACAGAACTACAAGATGGCCAGAGGCCGTTCCTTTATCCTCCATTTCTGCTGAGTCCTGTGTTCGAGCTTTTATTTCAACCTGGGTGTCAAGATTCGGAGTTCCTGCAGTTCTCACGTCTGACAGAGGTTCTCAGTTCACATCTTCTGTTTGGACCGGAGTTTGTTCTATTTTGGGAATCTCAGCCTCTTCTACGACCTCCTTCCATCCTCAGAGTAATGGTATGGTTGAAAGGTTTCACAGAAGTCTAAAATCTTCTCTTCGAGCAAGGTTAGCAAGTTCTGATTGGGTTTCTCATCTTTCTATGGTTCTCCTGGGTTTGAGAGCCACTCCGAAAGATGACACCGGCCTCTCGGTATCCGAGGCTGTTTATGGTGCTCCTTTGACTCTTCCTGGCAAACTTGTAGATGTTCCTGAGCTACTTCCTGATACGTTCATCAGGAAGGTCAACAGAGCTATTGAAGGTTTCGCCGTTCCTCCGCCTCATCATGTTCGTCCTGTTCCTCCAGTCCAACTACCTGCGGCTCTCATCTCAGCTAAATACGTTTTTGTTCATGAAGATACAGCTATATCATCATTAGCACCGCGTTACCGAGGACCTTATTTGGTGATTGACAGGCGAGACAAGTACTTCCGCCTCCAAGTGGGTTCGAAGCAGGACGTAGTATCTGTTGATCGCCTGAAGCCTGTATTCAGTGATACTCCTGTTACTACTGCGCTCCCTCCGCCTCGAGGAAGACCCAGACTTAACCCAGCATCTGCTCCTTCAGCTACTCCGCCTCCGTCTGCCGCCAAGTCTTCTAAGAGGGTTAGGTTTCTACTCAATCCTCAGGTTGTTCCGCCACCTATACCCTTACGACGGAACCCTTACAGATCTGCAAGAGATAGAAGGATCTGCTCCGCCATTTCTCCGCCGTTCCTTCTGGGGGGACTACTGTGGCGGATATGAATGTCGTCTTCCTGAAATAACATCTAGAGAGAACCAAGGGGGCGTTTCAAGATCAGCTTCAACCATGTGATAATTATTTAGATATTTTTACTTTATGGATTTAAGATTTAAATAAAGTTAATCGTTTGGAAACTCTTATCCTTTCAAGTTATCGAGCGCCAAATAATCTCAATAATGAAGATAGTTTCTTTGTGTGAATTCACACTCAAATAGACATTAGTAATATTAATCAACATAATTCTTATTCAGATATTGATGGAGGCCTCTAAGCAGATTAGCCCTTCAAAAAGATTAAAATCAAAGAATGGGCCGAAATATATTTTGATTTTGAAAATTATCAAAATAAAAAAATGCACTAAGGGAAATGATCCATCCAGGGTTCATCATATTCAAATTTGAATTGAACAGAAGGATATTGGGTACAAAGAGCGTTTTTCACTGTAGTAGATATTTGGATATCATTATTGGTTCCATATACATTCACTCCCTTCAATCTGCTTCCCGTGATACTAAGTATCTCCAGGAGACCTGAATCAGTCAGCTGGTCACACTCTTCCAGGTTTAGTTCCTCCAGCATAGGGAGAGATACTCCATCCTGGAATCCTTGCTCTGTTATATTAGTAGCAGATACATCTAGAACTCTGATACTACTCCCAGATATTCTCAGGGTCTCCTTCAGTCCTCCATCTGTCAGATTATAACAACAACCCATATTCAGTTTCTCCAGCATAGGGAGAGATATTACTTCATCCTTGAATCCCTGTCCTGTTATATTAGTCTGGGATATATCTAGAACTTTGAGCTTACACCCAAACAATCGCAGAAAACCCTTCAATCCTCCATCTGTCAGATATATACATTCAAACAGCTTCAGTGTTTCTAGGTTTGGAAGAGAGTTTACTCCTTCCTCTACTCCAACCCCCGTAATGTTAGAATATGATAAATCTAATTCTCTGAGATTCCTGGATATTCTCAGTATCTCCTTCAGTCCTCTATTTGTCAGATTTGTACAACTAAACAGGGTCAGTTTTTCAAGGTTTGGAAGAGAGTTTACTTCTTCCTCTACTCCAGGTAAATAACATAAATGTAATACTCTGAGATTACTCCTGGATCTGTTTAATATCTCAATCAGTCCTTTAACTGATAACCACCTCCAATCAATCAGGAACAGCTTCTCTAGGTTAGGGAGAGTACTGGGGAGACAACTGAATATATCTCCTTTAGACTTCATACAATAAAGAGAAATAGATCTTAGATTGAGATTGGAGAATATAGTCAACAAGATATTCTCCTCATCCTCTGCACTCCTCATAATTTTAGTTAAAAACCCTGCAATCCACTCAGTATAACATATACGGATAGTTTCCAGTTCCTCGTGTTTCTTGAATAAGTATTTGAAGTATTTATACACTCGAGCACAACCAATAAGAGAAGAGATTTTCAATCCTAAAAAGAAAACCTATTAAACATTTTATCATGTAATACATCTTTTAAAAAATTAAAAATTGAGCCAAATATTTTTAGCCTGAAATAATAATGACCAAAACCACGACATGAAAATTTTTGAGATTTCAATCTCCAAAATCAAATTAAATTTTACAGTTTTATTTAAAATTATTAATTTTGTGTAAGAATTTGATAAAAGGGGGGGGGGGCATAACACGTATTACTCTCCGGGAAATTTAAACAGTGAAAAAACATAACTTAGCATTGTCCTAGGAGGCTGATTTTTTGCATGCGAGCTTAAAATTATGTATATTGTGTGCATTTTTTGGGTTTGAACGGATCTGAGCAAAAGTGCGCGCGCACGCGGGCTTTTTGTTAAAAAATTCGACTTTTTTGACAGTAAATCAATCTTAACTTCATTAATTGCACTTGAACATGTATCCTGACACTCTTGAAAAAAATATGCGCTCAAAAAATTCACCTCCAAAGCCTTAAATGTCCGCGCGCGCGCGCAATAAAAGAAAACATCTTTCAATACTTATTTGCAAAGTTTGGCCTAAGTCAGAATAAAAGTAGCATGAGATACATCAAACTATAGCAAAATTGGGACAAGGAATTCAAGGAAATGAAACCATTCTTTTAAGCAGATTTTTTCCCAATATTTTAGAAAATCCATTGATTAATCCAATTGGACGAAAAATACACTACTAGGTTGCAAAGATATAGGGAATAGAAAATCCGTGTTTGTAGCAAAAACTCAATTCCTTTACAGGTTGTGGAAAAAAATCATGATCAGAGGTTGAGATAAAGAAAAAAAGTGTAACTTTGATATTTCAAACTATGAATTCTGTAAGATTGAATAGTGTAAATTTGAAATATCATCATGTTGCAAAGATACAGGGATTAGAAAAATCGAGTTTGTGTGCAAACAAGAACGTTTTATCAATTGTTATTAAGAATTTTAAAAATTCCTCAATTTCGACCGATTTAGCTTTATTGGAACTGAATTCTTACCACAATCGCAGACTTTCTAATCCATTTTAACTTTTAGGATGTATGAACTAGAGTGTTCCATTTTGATTGTCAAGGGACCGTGCAGAATATCAAAAAGAATTTCGGATATTTTAATTTATGAAATAAGCCAAATTTTAAAACAAAAGATTATTAACACTCGGGACACTAATTATTCCACCGTTAAAAGTTTAAAATTCAAAATATTCATTTCAGAGCTGGTAATTCGACCGAGTCCTTATTGATCATATTTTTAATAAGTGACTTTCTTAAATTATTTTATCCATAACCGTCGTATTTGGAACAAAAACCTGTTTTCACAGATAATTTTTTTTAAGTTGTTAAGATTACTGATATAATAATCGTGCAAATGAAGATGAGAAATTTAAGATTACATTCTTTAAACCCCTTTTGCCTTAATGCAGGGGAAGAAAGTTCCAAACCATGATTCGGCCCAAACCAAAAACTTGGGGCCAAAATAACTGTTTAAGACTTTTAATTTAGGTTTAGTAGCAGAAAAAATTGGCTGCTTACAATTATGTAAAAAGTCAAGGCTACATATTTTTCTCTTTAGATGATTGATTATTTAAACATACAGTGATACCATAAAACTCTGATTCGAAGCCAACTTTTAAAATTAAGTTATGACATTAAAAAGTCCAATGAGTATGACCCACAGCAATTATCTCTAAATTATTGATTTAACAAGTTACTTGTAAAACTATTTGCTTTGGAACAATATCAAATGCACTTCAGTATTAGTAAAATGTCGTCTTTCTATTCCATTGTTTTCTGGTTATCACCGTAGAAATTGCATTATAAATGCAGGAAAGTATTCATAAAGTAAGTGAGCAGTTTATTCTTGTTCCTACCAAAAATATCCAGTGATGTTTGCTTTGTATACTGACATGTACGAATATTTATAAAATACTTTGATTTAAATACAAGAATTTCTCACAGTTATAATTTTAGAAAAGAATTGTATCTGTAATTTTCGTCAAGCTTAATGAAATGTTGGAAATAGTTTATTTCATGAAATTTGCTCTGGTCAGTGGAGGAGTTTCTTAAACGTTTATCATAACATTTTTGCCTGGTTTGGAACGTTATAAAGCATACCATATTTGAAATAGATGTTACCTTGAATGATTTTAATATCTGCTATTGTTCTCAGCGTGTTCTTATCTACTTCATCATATATCTTCCAAACCTTGAAGGTATTCTCCAACTCATTTATGCGTCTCAGCAAAGTTTTACTTGATGCTCTCAGGGCACCTTTGTTCTTCTTATTCAACAACTAAAATATAAATTGTTTTTATCAAATTAGATCCTGTAGAATGTCGGATTCACAAAAATACTCTCAAGACTTTTCCCTGATCAGTACATAACAAGTTTTAATAATTAATAAGTTTTCCAAAATATAACATTGTGAGGGCGAGAGTAAATTCTCTGTAAAATTGACTTGTGGACAGCGATGAAAAGAATTTGTTAGAATTCAACACGTTTCCAGACAGAAAAATTACCATTAACTTACTCATTGTTATTCCGATATAAACCCCGATATAAACCGGACATGCTACCAGGCCCGGATACGGGGGGGAGTCAAGGGGCTGAAGACCCCCTCTTTTGAAAAAGAGTATCTTCTGACCCCCTCCCCCTTTTCTAGAGACTAAAATTAAGTTCACTTTTTACTGTAACTGTTTTCTAGCAAAAACTTTAATGTGCTTTAACTTACTTTAATTTACTTTTATGTATAAAAATATAAAATAAAAACTTCTTTCGTCTTTTAATGGAATGTTTGCTCCATTTGTAAAACCTAATAGGACACAAAGTTTTTAATGGAAATTTGTAGGAAACAAATATCTTAAACCTTTTCCAAAAATATTTTTCATGAGAATTTCATTTCAAATGAAAATTAAATGTTTATTTTCAGTAATTAGTTTCAAAACAAATATGAAAATACATCTGACTTCTAGATACAAGGAATTGAAATGCAAGAATATGGAACTGCTACTCATGTAATTTGTAAATCTTGTAAACCACTTTGTAACATATTATCGCCGAAAATTGGATATTTTAAGGCTGGGGTTTTTCCTTTCCTTTACTTTTTCCCTCTGCTATTCACCCTTCCTTCTTTTTTTCTTCTTTTTTCTAAATTACTTTTAGATTTGTGTGATGTATTATTTATTTGTTGATTTCAAAAAATAAAATTTATCTTTAAAACTCTGGAGAGCCAGCCAATCAAAACATCCAGAAATGTTAAAAACGACTAATACCGAAGAACGTAGAGTCCATAAAAATTCAGAAAGTTGCAACATTCAACTCGGATCATAAAATAATCAATTTAAATCCAAGCAAATCATTTAGATGTTTAAACCAATAGTCATCAATTATTATTCGACTCATTCGCATATTGTTAATATTTCATAATATTTTTTTTTTGTTTTTTTAAATGATATCTCACTGGCGCTGGATTTTCGAATATTCCTGGAAAATATGAAAATGTCGTCTTCATTATCAAAAATCCTCGAAACAGGAATAAATGTTTTCATAATTAACTCTCAGATCATAAAAAATAAAAAAAAATATTATGAAATATCAACGTTATACGAATGCGTCGAAAAATGATCGATGATTATTGGTTGTAATATCTGAATGATTTGTTTGGAATTTAATTGATTTTACGATCCGAGTCAAATATTGCAACTTTCTGAATTTGTATGGATTCTACGTTCTTCGGTATGAATCATCTTTAACCATTTTCTCCTTATAGACGCAACTGATAGAAGTAAATTTAGTAGCGATCAAAAGCGCATATTTTTCGCCGTAAGCCTATACCCCCTTTCATTTTTCGCGAACACTTCCTTTAATTTAGAATTTAGAATATTATTGTCACAAAAACCAGTGTTTATTTTAAACCAATTATTTTTCAAAATTGTTCCAAGGATTCTGAAACCGGTAATTGGCGTTTACTCGGATTAAAAAAAAATTTCTTTAAAATTTGGCCAAAAACATGATTGAATATGCATAACTAGTAGAAAAATCGGAGACCAAGAAATGTAAAAATGTCAATAGTGTGTCACAAGAATAGGAGTATGCGCAAACTTGCGAGCACCCTTGTCAACCATTAGCAATAAGGTCTCCGTGTAATGTCGTCTTTAACTTAAATCCCTTCTCGGAGACACCAAACCAAATAATTTTAGCCCCCTTTAACCTTTTTCTTTGACTCAGACTCAAAGTGGGAAAATATGATAAAAATAGGGAAAAATAGAGGGAAAAGGGATCTGAAAAACCTTAAACTTCGTTCTGATGTTAGTAATGAGATTCTTGACTAACAAGCAGGTGTTTAAAACACCTAGCTGGTATTTGACTCAGACTTTTGGTGAAAAAACTTTTAAAAAATGTAGGAAAAGAGGGAAAAAAATATTTTTTTCAATATTTTTTATTTTACATAAAACAAACACAAATTATGCCCATATGCAAAGTTTCATTCAGATTCCTCAAAAAATGAAGACAGGAGTCCAAAATGTATTCAAATGGGACAACAGTACCCTCCCCTTTGAGGGGGGGGGAGGGGGAGGGATTTATAAACATCTATGCTACATGGATTCATACTCCCCAGCATGGAGAAAGTTTAGATCAAAGCATTTAATTTAATAACAGGGCTCAAGGAGAAACTACAAGAACTTGGTATCCAGTCACTGGAACAAATAAGGGTTAGATTTGATCTTATTCAGACATTTAAAATACTCAGAGGTTATGATAAAGTAGAGAAGGGGATTTGGTATACTTGGGTCGGTTCAGACGTTACGAGACACACAAAGCCGTCTTACAAAGATAACTTGGTCCCAAAGCACTCTAGGATAGATCTTCTACTCGAACCAGGTAGTAAACCTATAGAACAATTTACCTACTGATATCAAGAATGCAAAGTCTCTAAATATCATTAAATCTCTACTTGACGCCCATCTTTAAAACCTTGAATTTCTATGCCAAGACTAGTGAGCAAGAGAATACACACGGAGGATGCTAATCAAGAAGACAGAAATACGAAGAATACACACGGAGGATGCTAATCAAGAAGACAGGAATACGAGAATACACACGGAGGATGCTAATCAAGAAGACAGGAATACGACAATACACAAGGAGGACGCAAATCAAGAAGACAGGAATACGAGAATACACACGGAGGACGCAAATCAAGAAGACAGGAATACGAGAATACACACGGAGGACGCAAATCAAGAAGACAGGAATACGAGAATACACATGGAGGACGCAAATCAAGAAGACAGGAATACGAGAATACACACAGAGGACGTAAATCAAGAAGACAGGAATACGAGAATACACACAGAGGACACAAATCAAGAAGACAGGAATACGAGAATACACACAGAGGACGCAAATCAAGAAGACAGTAATACGAGAATACACAAGGAGGAGGACGCAAATCAAGAAGACAGGAATATGAGAATACACACGGAGGGCGCAAATCAAGAATACAGGAATACGAGAATACACACGGAGGACACAAATCAAGAAGACAGGAATACGAGAATACACACTGAGGACGCAAACCAAGAAGACAGGAATACGAGAATACACACGGAGGACGCAAATCAAGAAGACAGGAATACGAGAATACACATGGAGGACGTAAATCAAGAAGACAGGAATACGAGAATACACACAGAGGACGAAAATCAAGAAGACAGGAATACGAGAATACACACGGAGGACACAAATCAAGAAGACAGGAATACGAGAATACACACGGAGGACGCAAATCAAGAAGACATGAATATGAGAATACACACTGAGGACACAAATCAAGAAGACAGGAATACTACTTTGAGAAACTTCTGCTATACTCCTAAAGTATTCCAGGTATAGTACTGTTAAGGTAAAAATGTAGTTCTTTCCAACTAAAAAAATACCTTGAGCAAGTATCTCAGATTATCATCTATCATATTCTCCAAATCAGACATCTTTATACAAAATGTATTCTGAAATTATAAGTTTATGATTAAAATGCACTTGCTGTATATTGTATTTTACTAACGTTGAAAGCTTAAAAAGGATTTTATCTCAATAATGAAGATGATTTCTTTGTGTGAATTCACACTCAAAAAAGACATTATCAATAGACATTATTAATAGACATTATTATTAATATATGCATAACTAAATAAGATTAAAATAGGCGGATTAACCCTGAAAGAAAGAGTAAAATTAAAGAATGGGCCGACAAAATGTTAAACACCACCAATGATAACATAAAAATCTGCGTAACAGTAAATGGTTATTATTAAAACAATCAACCTACCAAATTACATAATATATATTTATTTGTTAACATATATTAAGATGACTAAAAACATTCCCCTTTCAATAAACAGTTCAGTAAAAGCAACCGATGTTAACCTTGCCTTATTGATCTAAATTCAGGGGTATTTATTTGTTAAAAAATCCCCCCACTACTAATTTTTTACCCCCCAGTAAGTAAGGAATGTTTGCGCTAAATATTTTTTGGGGAAAAATTAACAAAGTGGTGGGGGAATTTAAGAACTTAATTTCCTATCCGGAGTTTTATCTAGAGGTTTACTTACTCCTTGAATTTTGCATGATGTTATGTTGCAGGATGTTGATTTTTGATGCTATATGGGGGAAATTGATTGATGCCCTCAACCAAAAAATTCATTTTTTCCCCAAATAAATCCTTAAAATAACATTTTAGGTTAAAATTTTTCTTAAAGGTGTGTGGGGGGGGGGAATTATTAGTTCAAAGTGACAGACCGAGCAGGAGTAATTAACCCCCGTTTATATCGTTTCATCTTAACCTTTGTTCATCATAGTTTAAAGCTTTACTGCATTCCCCTATATTTTAAGCAGATTTGCATGAATAAATCGTTCTAAACTTTGCGGACTTAAAATTCGGTATTGGTGATGGACCAAACCTCTGTACAGTAAAAAAAATAGATGTTAGTTCCACATTTATTGAAAATATATTTCGGTCTGGGTTGACCCTTGTCAGTTCTAACGATATAATAACCATCAAAATCGTTATATAAAAAAAATTGTTAAAAACCACAAGAAAATAAACGAACATAAAAGATAAATTAAAAAAATTTGGCTGTCAAATGGACATAAGGGAAACGAACTCAAATCATGAGATGGAAAAAAGATAATTTGCAAATATTCACTTTTTAAAAAATGTTTTAAGACAATTATTATTCCTTTTAAAGAATTGGACATAAAAAAAACTTTTTTTTAAAAAAGATACTGAATTACAGTTTACAATTTAATAAAAAAAATTTTCTGTTCATTCCTCAGAGTTCAGTCATAAAATCTCTAATGTATTTAGATTCTCGTACTTCAAGTAAACTTCTCCCGAGGTCCCAAACCTTCTCTAGAACGCTAAGATGGTAGAGTTCATGTCCAGGAAGGTTAACATGTTCTCCTGTAGGCTGGTTTATATGGAGATTTATTTCCTTTACTAATATCGTTTTTGGGGTTTATTTCCTTTAAAATGTAAATTGTTATAAATAAAGTACAATGGTTTAAATGTAAATTGTTAAAAATAAAGTACAATGGTTTAAATGTAAATTGTTAAAAATAAAGTACAATGGTTTAAATGTAAATTACCGGTTTATTATTATATTAAGCACGCAGTACACACAATTGCAGTAAAATATGGTACAGTACATAACAGTACATTACAGCACGGTATAGTACAGTACAATGCAGTACCGTACAGTACCGTACAGAACCGTGACGAACAGTACAGTACATTATAGTACATTACAGTACACACATTTATAATTCCTATGAAGTACAAACGAAATAAATTTGATAAAACCAGGAAAAAGCTGTAGACTTCCCAGAATTTATAATTTGCTTAAAGGGACTGCATGCAGACCTAATTTCTAGTGACCTTGCATTTAAAAAGTGACATATCCAATTCTCAAAGGTACCCTTTAAACAAACATTTAGCAAAAAAACATTGAGGAAGATATCGTCATTTCAAGAAGTGTTTGAATTCTCACAATTTCCTTCATTGTGTCTGCAAATTCATAATTCAACTCAACAGAGAAACCACAAGTGAACTAATTAAATTTAAGCAACAAAGAAAGGGATATCTCATTCAACCTCGATAAGACAAAGGTCATCGTTATGAAGTGGACATAACATGGAAGGTCATTTAAAATTACGTCTACATTCCCATTAATCACAGGAATGTTAAACATTTTACGGGAAAATAAATAAATTTGAGGCTAAGATGACGACATTAGAGGATTAATGATAAGTTAAACTGATCAAAATTGCAATTTTAAATTTCTTGTGACGCTAAACTTTTTTTAAATAAAAACCTTCCAATGATACTATTTAATGAACCACTGCAAATGAGAGTAAAAAAGTGGAAGGAGACTGAATTTAATAAATTTATATCGCATTGAAATCTTTTAATATGAATACAGAATTAACTGTAGAATGTTTTCATTAAAGAAGAACTACAGGGTGAGTAAAAAAAGAGTAGAAGACGACTTTTTAATTAAGTTGAGGTTTTTTGCCAATTACAAGTTTACAAGTAATTACAAAGAAGTTTTTTTAATTGACAGCTTCTTTTTGTTTCCATGTTTTGAGTATCTAGACTGTTTGAAACTTGATATAAATAGTCTTCCTTAAATTGATTTAATCGCTTACAACTGTACAAAACTGTGAATTGCACAAAAAAGTTTTCACGACTTTTATCACACTTTTTGTTGACTCCCCCTGTATATTAATTTACTAAGTGAAAAAATAGAAAACACAGAAACATAAATAAATACATTTTAACTATTAATTCGGAGTGTTGGACATTTTCCCAAATATCAATTTTCAAGATATTTCCGCAATAATTTTACTGCTGAGATATTAGACCTATTCTATCCTAAACTGGAAATAATTTTACTGCTGAGATATTAGACCTATTCTATCCTAAACTGGAAATATTTTACTGCTGAGATATTAGACCTATTCTATCCTAAACTGGAAATAATTTTACTGCTGAGATATTAGACCTATTCTATCCTAAACTGGAAAAATCTAATCACTTTGTTTCTAAGTTCATATTGGGGAAAATATTCATTCGACATAATATTTACTTGGGAAAATACCAAACACAGTTAAGAGAGAGTAAAATTTCAGAAAAATTGCCCGATTAAGATTAAGGTTTTGATCGATTGCTCAAGGATTGATCAATTTATCAAGGATTAATCAATTCATTGAGGATTGATCAATTTACAAAGTATTGATCAATTAATCAAAGATTAATCAATTCATTAAGAATTGATCAATTTACAAAGATTGATCAATTGATCAAGTATTAATCAATTCATTGAAAATGGATCAATTTACAAAGATTGATCAATTGATCAAGTATTAATCAATTCATTGAAGATTGATCAATTTACAAAGATTGATCAATTCATCAAGGATTAATCAATTCATTGAGGATTGATCAATTTACAAAGATTGATCAATTCATCAAGGATTATTCAATTCATTGAGGATTGATCAATTTACAAAGTATTGATCAATTGATCAAGGAAAAATCAATTCAGAAGGATTTATAAACTCATTCAGGAATAAACAATTTATCAAGAATTGATCAATCCAATGGATTAATCATGATCAAAATTTTTTTCAATGACGGACTAATCAATGATCAAATAATTGATCAGGACTAGGATCAAGGATAAGAAGAATCAGCTGGAGTGAAGAATTTTGTTGAACTCGTTGTACGCAGACTCCAGATCAAAACTGAGCTGTCTAGCCTGGTTCTCATCTAGCTCCTCACTTGCCTATACATACAGTACATAATTAGAATAGTTGGTACATAAAACCTAGCTCCTCAATAGCCTATACATACAGTACATAATTAGAATAGCTAGTACATAACATCTAGCTCCTAACTAGCCTATACATACAGTACATAGTTAGAATAGTTGGTACATAACATCTAGCTCCTCACTAGCCTATACAGGATACATACAGTACATAATTAGAATAGTTGGTACATAACATCTAGCTCCTCACTAGCCTATACATACAGTACATAATTAGAATAGCTAGTACATAACATCTAGCTCCTCATTAGCCTGAACATACAGTACATAATTAGAATAGTTGGTACATAACATATAGCACACTAGTAGCCTGTACACGCAGTACATAATTATAATAGTTAGTACACAAAATCTAGCTCCTCATTAGCCTATACATACAGTACAAGATTTGTACATACAGTACATACTTTAAAAAGTTAGTACATAACAGCTAGCTCCTCGCTAGCCTGTATATACAGTACATAATTAGAATAGCTAGTACATAAAATCTAGCTCCTCACTAGCCTGTACATACAGTACATAATTAGAATAGCTAGTACATAAATTCTAGCTCCTCACTAGCCTGTACATACAGTACATAATTTGAATAGTTAGTACATAACATCTAGCTCCTCGCTAGACTGTATATACAGTACATAATTAAAATAGTTATAACTTAACATCTAGGTCCTCACTAGCCTGTACATACAGTACATGATTAGTCTAGTTCGTACATAATATTTAGCGTTAACTATCCTGTAAATACAGTGCATAATTAGAATAGCTAGTACATAAAATCTAGCTCCTCACTAGCCGGTACATACAGTACATAATTAGAATAGTTATAACTTAACATCTAGGTCCTTACTATCCTGTACATACAGTACATAATTAGATTAGTTGGTACATAACATCTAGCTCCACACTAGCCTGTACATACAGTACATAATTAGTATATTAAGTACATAACATCTAGGTCCTCACTAGCCTGTACATACAGTATATAATTAGAATAGTTGGTACATAACATCTAGTTCCTTACTACCCTGGACATACAGTAAATAATAAGTCTAGTTAGCCTGCAGTGCATTGAACAAATAAGACAATGATTGGGCCATTTTATTTTTAGGACCTTACCTGAACTCAAACATTTTTTGAATAACTTTTTGAAAATCCGTCTATGAAAACCGGAAAATCTGCTTAGTTCCAAAGTTTTTGATGTAGGAAGAAAATAGGGTGACATGGAAAGGAAAAATTAAAAGCTAAAATTAATTATCATTAGAAAAAGAAGCTTAAAATGTCTATAAAAGACTATTAAAATATATATTGAGGATCCACCTGCATACTGGAGAGGGTTTGTAACCAAGAATTTATTTTATCCTTTCCAGTCCAATGTGCTGGGATTAAACTCAGCCGGCTCAAATTATCCGATAGATCCTAAAAAATACAAGGTTTTAAACCGGTTCCTCCCTGGTCTTGCCTTATTCATAAATTTCATTTATTAATAGTTTTTTCACTCCGATTATTTGGGTAATTTTAACTTAAAGGCACTGTAAGCGTTATTTCGAGTGCAACAGTACTCTTAAAACCTTTATCTGATCAATAATGTGGAAGATATTGTCTGTATTGTAGGCTTAAAGTGTTTAATTCTGATCACTCCTATATGTTTTCCTGCAATAGAAATGCGCCCGTCTCTTTTTGCAAAGATTAAAAATAATCTAAATTTTAAACATTGAAATCTAATTGATGCTCGATCAGACAAAGCTTCAAAGGGTTGTCACTTGAAATTACGCTTACTGTCCGATTAAGGTCAGAATAAATCAATTAATTCTGAGATATTTTTTCATGATTTAAAGACCTGGTTTAAAACCCTACCTTGAGTTCTCCGTGAAGATCGTCCATCGATCTCATCTCTAGCTTGAGTTTGTCCATGGCGGTGATGAAGAGGGCGACGATCTCTGCGATCAGTTTGCTTGTGTTCCCTTTGTCGTCCTTGATCGTGATCGGTCGATCTTCTCGTATTCTTTCTATACCACATCCGGTCATTTATCATCAAACATTTATTTTTTGCAAAATAATATTTGGAGAATTCCAAAACTTCAACTTTGAATAATATTTGGAGAATTCCAAAAGTTCTACTTTGAATAATATTTGGAGAATTACAAAACCTCTACTTTGAATAATATTTGGAGAATTCCAAAACTTCTACTTTGAATAATATTTGGAGAATTCCAAAACCTCAATTTTAAATAATATTTGGAGAATTCCAAAACTTTTACTTTGAATAATATTTGGAGAATTCCAAAATTTCTACTTTGAAAAATATTTTGAGAATTCCAAAATTTCTACTTTGAATAATATTTGGAGAATTCCAAAACTTCTACTTTGAATAATATTTGGAGAATTACAAAACTTCTACTTTGAATAATATTTGGAGAATTCCAAAACTTCAACTTTAAATAATATTTGGAGAATTACAAAACTTCTACTTTGAATAATATTTGGAGAATTCCAAGACTTCTACTTTAAATAATATTTGGAGAATTCCAAAACTTTTACTTTGAATAATATTTGGAGAATTCCAAAACTTCTACTTTGAATAATATTTGGAGAATTCCAAAA